AATTATTTTGCAAATTTAATATAAAATAAAACCAAATGCATACTTAAATTAAAACATTTTAGGGCCCCTAAAACTCCTTGGTTCCCAACACTGTGTGTGTTTGCCCAAAGGCTAAGTCTGCTTGAAGCCTGCATTCCTGCTCACTGTTTCTTGGATGTAAAGTGCTCTTCAGTCATTTGGGGCCACACAGTCCCTTCTGCCTAAGACGACTATTCCCCAGTCCAGCCCTCCCCCTGCCCCGTCAACCTGATGGAGTCATTCATAGTCAAGGTCCAGCCAGAATGCCACTTTTTCTTGCCAAATTCAGCAAATTAAACCACAGGATGCCCAATTAAGTTTTAATTTCATCTAAATAACAAATATTTTAGTCCAAGTATGTCTCACATATCACATGTCCCAAATATTGCAGGAGACTTGTTTGTACTAAGAAGTTCTGCGTGTTTATCTGAAATCCAGACTTACCCAGACATCCTGTATTTGACCTGGCAACGCTACTCTGTGCTGTTTCTGACTCATTTTCAGTGCAGCTCTTCTTCCCACCTGCTGCTCCCCCCAACCTGTCCCAGCATTGCCTACACACCTCTGTCCCATGCACCCGACTCCAGTCCGCATTCCTTCCCATCATTACACAGGCCTGCCACGGCCGGGGAACGTGGCAGTGCATGAGTCGTCACATATGAGTAAATGTGTGCTTTCCCTTTATTTCCCCAATTATCTTCTTATTTTCAGGGATGACTTGGCAGCATTTGGTTTTAATTTCATTCAGGATGTCGAGTGGCTGAGACTAAAGATGAGTTAACTATTGCAAGGGACTACAGCAGCACTTTTGCTAACAAAGATGTGTCCCAATAAGACGCTGTGTTTGACATGCATGACCTAATGCTAAAAGAAAAGCCAGAGGGTCTTAGCAGAGACCTGTGTCCCTCCCTGCTATGTGCAAGGGTGGACCGTGTGTGAGGGTGTCTCAGGTACTCTCTTCCCCATGATGCTGTTGTCAGACAGTAAATCAGATCCAGTGGGACCCTGTGTGGGGGATCTTTCTGTTTTTGATACTTAGGTTTAGGACATTATAATTTTGCCTCTCTAGCTTGGGAGTGGCTTGATTATTTTAAGAGTGCTTTTAAACCTACTTCACTCAGTGCTCACTACACCTCAAATTACCTCCCTCACACAGGAGAACTTCAGACTGAGATGATGTGGGCACAAGCCCCCGGAGACTGTAGGAGCCTGGCTCCAGGCTCCTAATCTAGTGCTCTTCCTGCAGTCTCAGCAGCAAGGAAAGCAAGCCAGACTCCCAGCAACAGCAGCCTTCCCTGTGGCCATGGCTGGGGGGAAACAAGCCCTCAGGACTCAGGCCAGGCAAAGACTAGTGGTCTGAATCAACTTGGGCCGAAGGAAGTTTTGGAAAGCTTGGTGAAAGTTCCCTTTTTTATTGCCAAGGATTTCCCAGCTTTTAGCACATTCTCCCTTTCTTGGTTGAGTGAAATTTCCAAAGTTGACCACTGGTTGATTCTTTTGTTATTCAGGTTGAGCAAGAAACCACAATGCCCAAATACCAATGTGTGTGTGTGTGTGTGTGTTCCCAGAGTGGTATCCTTGTGGTAGAAGTTCTTGCCCCTTTAGTAGTTTATAATCCAGCTCTTAGCTCACCCAAGCTTTAGAGCAGGCAACACAGCCCAAAATAGTTCCCACGGGTGGTCCCGGTGTAATGAGAAAAACAAAACAACAGTGTCAAGGTCAAATCCATGTGGGGAATTCTGCATGCCACTCCCCTCCTGGACTGTTAAAACTGTTCATTAGTAAAGGCTCTCTAGAACAGTGATCTCTAACTTAAAAGAATGGGGAATGGGGCAATGCTATTTAATTTGATGTTTTCCAAAATTATTTGATCAGAGAAATACTCCTTCCTCCTCCTGTTTCAGTTTTTTTTCCTTCTTTCCTTCCTTCTTTCTCCGTCCCTCCCTCCCTCCCTCTTGTTTTTAAGGAACATCTCAGTAATGCCGTTAGTCATTCTGGGAACAAACTTTAAGGAGACTAGCTCTCAAAATGGGGCTGGGGGCTGAGGTCGTGGCTTAGTGGTAGGGGGCTTGCCTGGCATGTGTGAGGCACTGGGTCTGATTCTCAGCACCATATATAAATAAAATGAATAAAAAAATAAATAAAAGGTCCATCAACATCTAAAACATATTTAAAAAAAGAGATAGAGGGGTGAAGTCTAGCTAGATTTCACCACCTCTTCCAAGTGTTCTCTTTCCAAGCCACTTACTTCATGCCATAAATTTTAGCTCAGAGAAAATCTTACTGGCCTCAGCACACCTGCTCCTCCTGGTGTGTAGGTGATGCTTGGAACTAGTCGCCATACATGTAGAACCCTCACCCTGTCCAGCCAGCCCTGCCAAAAGGACTGTGAATGCCTGAGCCCCTCATTGGTACCAGTGGCTCCAGTGAGTTTCCAGGGCAGGATGGTGCCTGAGGAAGGGAGGCCCTTATGGCAACACCACGTGCTGTCCAGTGGGTGGCCCCAGCCAGTGACCCCGCACCAGAGCCACATGCAAGCACTCTGGTGGTCTGTGGCATAACATGGGATGTGTTTGCGTGAGGAAGTATGCACCCCTCCCTCAGCCCAGGGCAGCCGTGTTTCCTCCCTTCTTTCTATTCACCCCAGGATGCACCGAGATCCAGGGATTCTGCCACATTGCCTGTAGAAGCAGCATGAAAGGTGTCACTGTGTATCAAGTGGTGGTTCCACCCAAGCTCTTGTCTACCTCTGGGTTTTTCACAAGTTTCTTCCTTTGCCTGAGATATTGGTCATTTGTTGGCCCAATTTCTTAAGTTCAGCCTCAGTGTTACCTCAAACTAAAGCAGCCCTTCCGCCTGATACTTTCAATGATAGCATCCTGTTTGCAGTCTTCACTGACTGACCATTGCCTAGATTACCACATACTTTTACTTTTTTGAATATTGTCTTCTCCCCTCAAGATGTCAATTCTACAAAAGGCAGAGATCTATTGTTTTGGCCACTGTTGGATCCCTAGTGCCTCAAACAGTACCTGGCATAATATAAGCATGCCACAAATGTTCGTTGAATGAATAAGTAAATTTTCCATGTTCAGAATCAATCACCAACTGTTCCCCCAAACGCTGGTTGGAGTCAACCTCAGGCCTTGCTGATCAACTCGTAGACTCACAGCAAATGCTTAGGGGTGGCTGCCTGGCCCAGCCATGGTCCACCAGCATGTGAGGAAGTACAGAAGCACAGAGAGCAATAGAAATGAGTTTTTATTTGTAAAAAGTTACAAAATGATATTGTACAAAAATAAAGTCTGTAGAGAACTTTGGTTGTATAACACAAACGACTGAGACAGATCAGAGAAGTTAGAGCTTCAAAGAAGTGCACTCCTTACGGAACCAGATGGTAATCACAACAATAAAGAAAAATCACAAACTTTACCCTTTGGTGGATCTGGTGGAGCAATCTGCTTCCATTGGAACCCACCTGTGGTGTGTAGGTGACGCTGGGAACGAGACAACACCCATGGAACCCTCAGCCCTGTTGGGCAGGTATTCTCCACGGGGCGCCGGGGACGGAGGTTGGAACCTGGGAACGTCAGACACAGACACCACATCTGCCAGGACTCTCTGGACTGGACAGATGAACCTGGGACTACATGCAAGTTGTGCCAGAAAGCTGGGGTTGTCACCGTTTTGAGCAGAGGATGGCGACGGAGAAGCCCTTTTCCTCTATGTCCCAGTCACGCGCAGGGGAGCAGAAAGGACAGAATGATGGAGAACTTGGGTCTTTTAGGGGTAGGGGGAGGGGATGTCTAGTAACTGCCACTTCTTTGTTACTTTGTAAAATTAACACGGTTATTTGAGGGAGGCCAGTAGGTCATTTAATTGATTAATCTCTCCTACTTTTATGGCTACTAAAATAGTGATAGATTGTCTCCTGGATAAACGTCCCTTTTATGACATGTTTAACAAGGCCCAGTGCATCGCCCACATTGATGGCTGCCAGACAAGTCCACGACTGGGGACCAGCAGGGCGTGGTCGAACCTACCCACTCTTCTCCCCTCCAAACTCTTTCTTCGCACGCTGAGAGTGTGAGGCTTCTCTGTGAATGCCGTGGCCTGGCACCTCTTCCTTCTCAGCCACCTTCTCCCCAGGGAGTCATCAAGTGAACAGGTGCAGCACGTGTTGACCTCAGGGTCTTGGAGAGGACCAGAGACCCACCTTCTGGAAGGCCATGGGTGTGCCCCTGGCTGCACTGGGCAGGTGCATGTCTCTCAGGAAGACGGTGGCTGGGCAAGGATGGAGGGAGACACTGCAAAAACCTTGGCTGCTTGACAGTCCTTTACTTTTAGTCCAGGACTACGGACTGAAAGGAACTTGACCTTTCATACATATGGTTATGCATATTATAGACAGATACCTGTGGAGGGGAAGAAGAGCTTCAGTATGACTGTGATGGAGGGGTGAAGGGCAGGAGACAACTGCCCACGGCCTCTGCACACGCTCCTGGAAAGGAGACCGGCTAGAGACGCTCCTTCTGAGATCCCAAAGAATCCATAAATTAAAATAGGGAAAAATGCCGACATATGGAGAAACTAAAGAGGGATTTTTCTTAAAAAGGTAAAGTAAGTGATTTTTGCCTAGCCAAAAAAAAAAAAATTATTACTTTGAAAAGTATGGACCCTTGTTCCCAATTGAAATTTCCTTTTGTCACCCCTCTTTGCATTTTTCGAGCACATATACTTTGGCACCTTTGAAAAGAAACTTTAATAAATAAGGGGGGAAAATAGAGAGAAACTCATTAGTGAACTGTAATAAATAACAATAACTTAAATCTCAATAAATATCTTCTCTATATTTCTGTATCTGAAACAGATGCATTGCATCGAGTAGCTTCTCTGGTCACTGGTGACCACGCATAAACGGAGCTGGGTATGTAACATCCGTCTCTCTGTAAACCGACAGGCCCCGGGGTGGGGGTGGGGGTGGGGGTGGGGGTGTCTACCTGTCCTGGGGCAGCTGGGGGCCTTGCCCGCTTGCTCTCCTACAAGAATGCTGCCGAAAACCACAACTTGCTTCCTGTTTCCAAGGACATAAAGGAAATACCTTCAGGTTGGTTTTTAATCTCGAGGACAGCGTTTTTGGTTCCTAGCCAACTTCTTCCCACCCTGCACACCATGTTCAGAATCAATCACCAGCTGTTCCCCCAAAGGCTGGTTGGAGTAAACCTCAGGCCTCAGCTTTCCAATTCAAAGATTATGATCTTTTGTGTCTCTGCTTTTTTTTTTTTTCCTCCCCACTCTCCAGGGTATGACTCCATTGAGTGACAGAAAAATAAACCTTTCTTACTTTCAGCAGTAAAACGTAATGACAAGGAGTGACACCAGGATTATCATTTCCCTGGTGTCTTCAGACATGTGAAAACAAACCACAGGAGATACACTGGTTTGGTTCTTCGAGTGCATCCGCAACTGCCACCATGATGGGTGATGGTGGACTGTATCAGATGACGCGATGACAACAGCCAACCAGGGACACCAGCCCTGAACATCTGGAGAACCCAGATGGCTGTCTTCTCTCTCCTATCCAGTTTTCTGTAGCTGGACCTCTCTCTACCAGGCTCCCACGATGGATGGCTGCCTTCCTCCTCCTCCTCCTTCTCCACTTCCACCTCCGCCTCCTTTTCCTTGGTCCTCATCTTCCGCTCTGGGCAAACATTTCCTGGGAACCTTGGTCCCTTTCTTTGCACTGTAGCAGGAATGCAATACACAGCAGTCTCTGGAGCCGGAGTCAGATACATCCACACCTTTTAGCGGAATGCTTTCTTAGAATATGGTAAACCAGGTTATCATCTAAAAATGACAGGTCGTCATCGAAGGCGATGGGTCTGCAACACGCCTGCCCTACCTTGTCACTCGCGAGCCTTCTATTTCTGGATAAGTTTTTGAGTATTTTGTCATACATTGTCTCAGCTGCATCGCACGAACCACTGCAGTACCGAAAAATCAGTTCCTCCTTGGTTTCATAGCCCAGACCCAAGTCAGTGACATTTAAATGTATGGCGGTTAAGACACAACCCCGATTTTTGCCCCTCTGGCCTCTCCGACCTTTGCCTCTGGAATTCTCGGGGTTGGCGGCTGCAGCCTGTCGATTCCGCTCTCGTCTAGGAAGCACTGCCATTTGTTTATCTGGTGACCTTTTCAGTCTTTTAATGGTGGCTTGAATAAAATCCATGACATCATCAAACTGATCAGGATAGTCCTCTGGCATATTGGCTGTTCAACAATAAAACAGAAAATGTCACATAAGACAACTATGATCATCACAGGCCATCATAAAGTTAAACAGTTATATCGGATGTCATTTCCAACCCCTTTGGGACTTGTGTATAGGTTTTAGAGATATTTTTGTCCAAATCTTGTACCTGTAAATTTTATTTCTTCAATTCATGGCAACCTTTCAAACTAAGGAGCCAAAATAAATTGGCTTTTTGATAAGAAGAGATCAGAGGAATTCTAATGTCCACGATCCATGGACCAAACTTTGAGAAACACCGACTTTGATGATAACAAGTTATAGCTTCCAACTCTGTTACTTGGATGTGGAATACTGAGTGCTTGTCCCTGACCCTCCGTGTATGAGTGGGACAAGAGCCATTCTGACAGAACACAGAACTGGGACTCAATTCTATTTTAGAACTTCCTTTAAAAAAAGATTAAAGAATAGAAAAACAACTTATATTTTACTAACAAAGAGATTGGTTTGCTCTTCCTTTGGATGGCATGACTTTTATTAAAAAAAAAAAAAGTACAATGATGTAAATGCATCACAGCAATAAAGGAGACCAGAGGCTGTTTGGGGATGGGCACAGCCCCATTCCCAGGGATGAGGCCACATCTCTGCTGCAGGCTGTCCCAGGGCTCTCACCTTCTGGCTGCAAGGAGGACAATAGCTATGCCCTTTAGGGAGATCCCATGGGGAAGGTGAGAGGGCACTAAGGTGTCTGGGACCTCTGGTGAAAGTCTGAATTTGCAAACTCTTGTTATCTGAATATTTCAGTATTTGTTTTGGCCAACTGAATAAAAGAAAAGTAAGTACTGGAGCAATGCAATACATTCTAAAATAAAAGCAAATCAAACTCCTGTTCATTAGGTACAAGGCCTTTTATGGTCTCTATATCCCATTTTCAGGCAACTTGTAATGTTTAGGGTTATAAGTGGCTTAGTAAAATACACCTCAAGAAAGGTGTTAGTAAGAGAGGTTTTTTTTTTTTTGCCAAGATTATGTTAAAACACAGAAAGATTACATTGTGCCTTTCCTACTTCAAATTATTCTATCATAAGCCTAAGCTATCTTCTGGTGGAATGAAATGGCTCAGAATGACATACTTAGGCAATCTTAAACATTTATAAAGACCAAATATAAGAACTGTTCTGAGTATTGTGTGTCACCCCCAGTATGGAACTGGGGTATTTCTGCACATAATGCCTATTAAAGTTTGAGGTCACTACACACGAGTTGGATCCATAACTCAGCCATTTAAAATTAAAAGTGAGACCGCGCCAGCTCAAAAGAATAAATAAATGAAATAAAACTAACCTATTTAATTATTAAAGCAGCAAGTATCCTACTGTGTAAAATAAAATCTAGCTAAGGTGCCTTAGCCATATATATGTGTGTGTGGTTAAGGCACCTTAGCAAGATACACATATTTGATACATAATAATGAAAAGATTAGGGATTGGAATCTGTGAAGATGTTGTTGCTTGATACCTGAAACTTAGCAGATGCACTGAGGGCACAAAACTGTTTCCACCCTGGCTGAAGCCACAGTGGCTTCTGAACTCTTGTCCCCCATCCACCCTACCCACATCCCCCTTTCTATCTATTTTGCACCCAGGGGGATACTCTAAAAAGGTCCATTCAGATCATCTCCTTCCTCCTTTCAGAACTCTCCACACTCCCTATTTCTCCTGGAGTAAAAGCCCAGGTCCTCACTGGCTTCAAAGCTTACCTGACCTGGCCACCTCCTCTGCCCCCAGCCTTTGCTATCTCTGGCCTCGTTTCAACTTCTCTGCTTACCCCTTTCCCTCTGGCTACCTTGGTTCCTGGCTGAGCTTCCAGCACGGGGCTTTTCAATCTTGGCACTGCTGACATTTTGGACTGGATCACTCTCTGTCACGGGAGGCTGTCCTCTGCCTTGTAGGATGTCAAGGTGCATCCCTGGCCTCTACTCAGGAGACTCTAGGAGCATCCCCCAACCCCTACCCCATCATGCTCACAACACACTAAAGCGTCTCTAGATGTGGTCAAATGTTCCCCTGGGTTCTAAATCATCCGGACTGAGAACCACAGCTCAAACACAAAGGGGCACTTAGGTCTTTTGCAGGCTGTTTCCTCTCTACCTGGGCCACTAGAACTACTTATTCCTCTATGCTACACCCACGTCTCCTTCATGTTTTTGCTCAAATGTTATGACTCAACAAGTCCCACCCTGAATTCCTGGCTTAAAAGCAGTCCCTCTGGAACCCCTAGTCCCTGTGCCCTGTCCCCCTCCAGCCCCACCATAATAATCCTTGTGTTCCAACACATTATCCAACTGAGGGTCTCAGGTGTGTTATTCATTGTCTTCTCTGATAGCAGGCCAACTCCAAGAGGCAGGCTTCTTTACCGATGGATCACAAACAAGGGCTAGCAACACCATCTGGTCCCCAGAGGCCCTGATAACTGTTTGTTTAATGAATCAATCACTTTCTTGGGGTGGGGGGAAGAGTTCTTAGTTTTTCAAGGGGAATTCCACTGAATACTGTATCTTTATGAAATGAAAGGCTCCAAAATAAATAGCCCATATCACTTGGGAAACCTGGGATGTCCTGCATGGCACAGTTGTCTCCCATCCGAGAGTAAAGGACCATCTGCAAACCCACCTTCCTCACCAAACCCCCTGCAACCCTAAAGTTCAGCTGCACATGCCCACCTCATCCTGGGGCTTCAAAAGGACTCCTGGGAGTCCTTTCTCAAGGGGCCTGCCAGAGTAGGGGAGCATTCCCAATTCCTCATTTCCTAACTGGTCTTCCTTTAGGAAGTTTTCTTAAAAACAGCAACAATAAAAACAACAACAAAAAATCTTTAAACTTGATTTTTAAAAAACTATCTTTAAAAATAAGCTGCTTATGCTGTTTTTGGTTTCTTTCAATAATAAGCTATAAAAGAGAAAATAAATATGTGTGCCTGTATGTATTTGTAAAAATAAATATTTGCTTGTGATAGTAAAAAAAAAATGCTTGTATGGAAAATCAAACTTCTAAAAGGAAGGTGATCAATCAAAATACAAAGGAGTCTTTAAATTGAAAAAAAAAAAAAAGACTATGTTTTGCAAAGAACTCACACCATGAGGTCCAGGCTCTAGTCAAGAATTCCTGAATAGATCATTAACTTAGGAACCTGGGAATATTGAGCGCTATGATCGATTAACAATCAACTGAAGATTAATCAGAAATGAGGATAAAATATTACTAAAATTTCAACTTAAGCTAATGGCAAAACATTCAAGTAATAAAATTTCAAGTCACTCAAGACTCAAACATTGATGTTATATAATTTCATATGGTTAGTTATAAAAATGTTCTAATATTTTCAATCTTCTTAAAAATTTTTCCAGACACTGTAATTGCCTGGCTTTGTTTATAAGATAAAATACAGAATACCAAGTTAAATTTGAATTTCAGGTAAATAGTGAATATAATTTTAATAGAAGTAGTTCCAAATATCATGTGGGACATATACTACAATATTTGGAATATATTTACACTATATGAGAAAGTTCAGTGCCCTTTTGCGTATTTTCAATTCCACTTGGCTTCCCCATGTGTAGAATGTGAATGCACAAACTACTTAAGATTGTAGATGGTGTGGTAAGAGATCACTAACCCTGAGTTAAAAGCCTTCCAAGGGGTGGGGAGTATAAACCAAAATAAATTTGTCCAAAGCCATACCGTGTACAACACCAAGAGTGAACCTCATGTAAACTATGGATTGTCATGTCAACATAGGCTCATGGACTGTAGCAGATGTATTGCTCAGGTGTGGATCATCGTCACAGGGGAGGCTGTGCCTGTGTGGGAGCAGGAGGTGTATGGGAAATCTCTGTACTTTCCTCTCAAGTTTCAATAAACTTCAAACTGCTCTAAGAAGTAAAGTTAAAAAAAAATGGGGGTGGTGGTGGATGTGCTTCCTGTCACCTGGGAGGCATGAGGATAAATATTCTACTTGTTAAACTGAAGGTTGTAGCTACTGAGAACTCCTCCCTTTGATGGGAAATCTCCCTCCTAACCTTGTTGCTAATGTAGAGACATTATTTAAGCTCCAAGTTCAGCCTGCAGGTAAGGCTTATGGAGTTGAAGGAGTTTTTGCCCCCTGTATATTCTTGAAAAATAGAACAAAAATATTTATACAGAAAATTTTACATCAATATGAATTCGGAAAACCAGGAATGGGCGACATTGTATTTTCCAAATCACACAGCAAATAGTCCTGTCTCCTCCAACTAAAGTCCTAATTTCAGGCCTTTTGATGCCATTGAATTCATTCAAAGGGAGAACCTCAATTTGTCAATGCTGGGCACTTGAGGACACTAGGTGGCATATACCTCTGGAGAGGATGCTGGGCAGTCCTCACTGAGCCTGTTCTTAAGAATCCCACAGAAGCCTTCAGCCCAGCCCAGGCAAGTAACTCCCCATAATGAACCGAAAAGCCCACAGTTGCCTCAATCTTCCAGGAATTCACTGAACTGAGGGAGAAAACAAGGGTTTGGGGTTTGGATCAGTTTTCTAAGTTAAAGTTTAAGGCCTATCACTTTCTTCTTCATCCAACAAAGGGTGTGGCAGAGTGTCAAATTCACAAACAGCTCTCACTGGGATTAACTTTGTTCATAAAATACTTGCAAACCACAAGAGAAGAGCATCCTTAAAACAAACAGGTGGATCAAATGTTTGCTCATTTCCCAGACACACCTGGAGGATAGATCTTAGAAAACATGTCCATCTCAAAGCTGAAGTTTTTGAAAAATCGAAACGCTAAAATGAACTTAAGTCATCCTTCAGATTGCAACCAAATATTTTGGCATTATTCTATTCGAAATATTTTAACTTTGATGTGTCCTTTATATAAACAGTGCTATTCAAACAAATGAAACCCAACTGGGACACCACTCTGGGAATAAACCTCATTGCAGAGACTTTGCCTTTCTTCATTATGGGGAAAATAAAGTAGTAAT